GTGGTGATAACTCCGTTCCAAAATTTCCATAAGTAACTGAAATATTGATTTTCTAAAATATGTGATGCAAAAATTTCAACAAAATTTAAAAAATATATGGTAATTAATTAAAAAAAAAACTGCTCTGGCAGTTATGTAGTGAAAGTTGTGGACCAGTGACATTTAAAATTTCATAACAATAAGTGTGTTAACAATGGAGATATTACATTTTGAAAATATATTGGCAACACCATAAGAGTTAATCGTAGCGACTCCCCTTAAAGGCACTTGGGGCCTCAAGATTATTTCAAGTTCTTCGTGAAAAATACACCAAATGTTGGTTTAAATTCTTTCAAAATAAAAAACACCAGATACCTCAAGATTCTTTCAAAATTGTTCAAAAATAAAACACCAGGTACCTTCTAAAATTTTTCTAAATTAAAAAAAAAGAACCCCAAAGAAGTCTACAATTTTTAAAACATTTCTAAAAACGAAGACACCAGTGGTCCCCAATATTTGTTTTTTTTTTTGCTAAATTTAACATTCTTAAAAATTCCATAAAGTTAAACACACTTGGAACCCCAAGATTCTTTCTAATTTTTCATCAACGAAACACTTTAGGTCCCAAGATTCTCAAATTAGAAAATCACGAAGAATCTCACGATTCTTTCACAATTGTTCAAAAATCAAACACCAGGGATCTCCAAGCTTTTTATTAATTTTTAAAAAAGAACACTAATGACCTCCAAGACTTTCAAAATTGGTTACCAAAATTTTTTCAAATACCCTGTCACTATCACCGTAAAGTAGAGTTCACTAAATAATGAATATTGATTTTCTTTTTATTGGAAACCATTAATAGATCGCCAAGGATTATAATGGTGACGATTTGCAACGTTTGCTTGCTTTTGCGAATTCGACGCCGTTGATCACTATAACCTAAAATGTGTTCACTGTGTGGCAGGCTCTATTTTACATGTTCGCACACTCCTCTTAGCCGTGGCAACCCTACTGATAGTTAATGAAAATAATGGGCGTTCACTTAAAAAGTCATCAACTTGGCATAGATCTTTACTTCCCGAGCGTAAGCAAAGGAAGTATTGTAATCGAATCCGTCGGCCGACTCTCTACTTTTACATTTTCTCGATCTTTCATGACTCCTAGAAGAGGAAGAAATAGGTCTCCTGTTTCCGTCTGTCTGTCCGTCTGTCCGTCTGTCCGTCTGTCCGTCTGTCCGTCTGTCTGCCGTCACAGATTTTTATTAGGTAGATAATCGCCGAAAGTACTGGGTCGATTGTTGTCAAATTTATATTAGGTACATCATGTAGATTGTAAAACGCTAACCAAAATTTAACTAATCAACACGTACATAGTAATTGGGTTTTAAATTGTATCAAATAGCATAGTCTTACACATGTAGCTTATGACTCCGAATTGAGATTTTACCCGAAACGTCCAGATTTTTGGAAAAAAAATCAAAATTAGGAAACAACATTTTGACATTTAATTTGGAATCTACAAAACCGAATGCTTTGAAATCTTGCAGATGGTTTACAATTATGATAGGCATGATAAAATTTTAATCACAATATATTTAGTTATCCCCTCCAAAAAACTGATGACGTCACTCCAAAATTTTGCTGAATAAATCCTATCTAAAATGTACAAAATATGAAAAGTCTTTTCTTCTAATTTATCCTTCCATTCATATTTTTTGGATTTGAATATACAGGGTGACTCAAAAAATTTAATGATTGCGCAAATTTATTTTATTGATTTAATCAAGAACTACAAAATCGAATGCTTTGAAATCTAATGCCAAAAGAAAACATAATAGGCATGCAGTCGTCACGTTTCCGAGAGCGAGGAAAGTACTGTCTAAACTCTTTAGACCAATTTTTTGTAAATATTATGAAATATGTCTGCAATAAAGCCAATATTTTGTCAATGACAACTGACAAAGTGGAATGATACTAAGTTGTATCATTCATATCGACTGTTGAACTGAAAAAGTTATCAAGTTGGCATTGTTTTTTTTGATAGAAGAAAAGTTACGTTTGTAACAAGTTACTTATAATAAGTGCGTAATTAGAAAGAAACCACCGCTTAAATATTTCCAAAACTGAAATTACTTTATGGTAAATATTAAGGCGGATTCATAAATCAGAAGTACAGGAATATATTATTAGTTTTGAGGAAATGTCATCGCATTGTTCGTGGTGAGTAGTTTCGGAGATTAACTGTCTAATAAAAATCGACACAGTCAGACACACGAAAATGGAAGACTTATTGTTCCGTACAAGGTCGATCCCATTGTTTTATGATTAGTATTACACCACATATGCCGGAATTGACATACACGTCCTTGCTGAAATGTTGATCGAAACATTTTCAATTAGGAAAACTCACTAGAAACACAACCTTGAACTTTATCCATGAATTCATATTTTTGTAACAATTGTTAATCTAGTGTCCGTTTCGAAGTTACCAGAGTGTATTTTCGAAATATAATGCGTTCGAATCACAAACAGTGGCAGAATATAGGTAATTAAATTATGAGATTATGACACTTTAATGAATTCAGAAAAACAAGGTTTAAAAGTGTCATAAAAAACCTGGATGTCGTAGACCAATAAAAAAAATTGTAGGGTGGCAAAACAAGTTTATCAGATCTCATTTAATTCACTAAATAAGGTAATAATCAGCATTGACCTTTAGTTCTAGACGTGTTATCTATTTTGTTTACGTTTGTGTTAGTTGTATGAACAATTATAATAATGAAGTTGTTCGATCGTAGTTTTCATTTGGTTTATCCTTAAACACATTTTTATCATAGTACAAGTTATGACTGGCAACGATGTTTTATCCTGTTTTAAACAACTTGAAACTTTATACAAATGGCTCATTCTACCTTCAATTAGCATAAGAGAAAACAAAGCAACATCTGAAAAAACACGGCTTTACAAATTTTTCCAAAAATTCTTCATATTATTAAACTGTTTTTATTTAATTTACTGGTTGTTCACGTTTATCCTATTTAATATAAAGGCAGGATGGACACTGCACACATCTTTAACCTTCTACGTCCACATTATGAACGTTTTGTTAATAATTTTGATTTTTACCACATTTAGATATTACGACGAGCAGATCGTGCACATTTACAACCAGATGTTCATAATCGAAGAAATTTTAAACAAAAAAATCAAATTCGTGGACCACTATTCTGCTTTATTTCCAATTTTACCGATCTTCTTGTACACAGTGAATGTTTCAGTGTGGCTTGGTACGTTAACTTATACAGTTGCAACACGCGTGGGTAATGATAATAACATGATTTATTTAATTGTGACATTTTTATACTGGCATACACAACTGGTACAAATCAGTTGTCTTGCAAGATTTGTTTTTGTAGTAAGTGCATGTGAAAAGCTGTTAACATTGATGAATTTAGCTGTTCTGAACTCAAGCCAACAGTGGTCGTCCATCTTACATTATTCTATTCTCCATGAAAAAATCTCTAGCGTGGTAAAATTTAACAACACCATACACTCAATACCTCTTGCAGTATTTGTCTACTACAGTCAGTCAGTTATGATTTGTCGAATTTATTACTTATATATTAATCAATCTTCGAAAGGTTTCTTTATTGTGTGGAGTGTTTCGATTGTTGTCGTTATTTTGGGTTTGTCTTATGTTGCACAAAAATGTAAGAATCAGGTTTGTAACATTTTTCTTGACTTTTAAGTTATTATAGTGTTGCTGGTTTTAGGCGACTACACAAATTAAAACCATATTTTCTAATGTCTTGATTAAACACAACAGAAACTCAAAAATTAGGAGAGAGGTCGGAATCTACAGGTTTTAAATGTAAAATTGTATTTATTCTCTTTTAGATCGTTGCTTTCAATATTCAGTTGCTGCAAACTGATTTTAAAATAATGGCAGGAGCAAACGAGCTTGGAGCTTGTTTCGTTTACAATTATGGAGCAATTATAATAACATCGACATTCGTTTTGCTGCAGTTCGCTGGATTTGTCATTAAAATGTAGTTTTACCTTTACTACAAGTGTCAGAAATATGAGACAAATGTAAATAATTTTCCACAATTAATTCTAAACATGCTATTATGCTTATATTTGACTTGGCTATTCAAATAATTATAATAATGAAGTTGTTCGATTATTTTATTAATCATCGTTACTCCATTTACATTCCAGCAGTGCTAGTAATAAAAGAGGTTATGGTTGGCCAGAATGTTTTATCCATTTTTAAAACATTTGAAACTTTATACAAGTGGCTTATGTTACCGTCAATCAGTATAAACGGAAATAAGGCAACTGCCAGCACAAACAATGCTTACACTATCTCTCAAAAACTATTTGTGTTATTTAACTGTTGCAACTTGATTTACTGGTTTATCGATTGTGTGTTGTTGGAGTCAAACGTGGCTTGGACGATGGAAAAATTTCTAAAATTTTATCTGCACACCATGGCCCTCTTATTATTGATTTTGATTTTTGTAACTTTTACATATTACAGAGAACACATAATTTACATTTACAACAAAATGTTCATAATTGAACGAAACTTAGACAAAAAAATTAAAATTATGGACCAATTTTCAATAGTGTCGATCCTGGCACTGTTCTTTTATGCATTATTTTCGTCAGTGTTACTTTGTCGAGCAGTTTATAAAGTAACAACTTACAAGAGGGCACCCATTGATTTAATTTTGTTATTTTCGTATTGGTATGCCGAAATGACACAAATTAGTGTTCTTATAAGATTTGCCCTTGTAATAAACGTGTGTGTAAAATTGTTAACGGCCATGAATTTAGCTATCGTGAATACAAGCCAGTGGTCATCAATTTTACACTATTCGATTCTCCATGAAAAAGTGTCTAATTTGGTGAAACTAAACAACAGTATACATTTAATTCCCCTTGCGGTATTTATCTACTACAATCAGTCAATTATCGTTTATCGAATTTATTACTTATATATTAGTCCATTATCGAAGGGTTTGTATGTCGTGTGGACAATTTCTGCCTGTATTAATGTCATTAGTTTGTCGTGGATTGCTGAAAGGTGTAAAAATCAGGTATGTTTTTAGTTACTAGGTGTAAATGATATTGTAATGTGTAATTTCAGGCGGTTGTAAAAATCAAAAACATATTTTCGGATGTCATGGTTAAACACAGTTGCGACGTAAAAATTAAGAAAGAGGTAAGAATCTACAGGTGCGAATATAATCCTAGAGTTGTTTTATTTCAGATAGTTGCTTTTAATATCCAGTTGCTACAAACCGATTTTAAAATAACAGCGGGAGTTAACGAGCTTGGAGCTTCTTTCGTTTATACGTATTTAGGAACTATAATTACGTACATATTCATTTTGTTGCAGTTTGCTGGATTTTTCATTAAATTATAAGTTTATTACAGTGAGTGCGTGTCAGTGAGTGTAAATTATTGTAAATCACAGTAATTTTGTGTGTTATTTTATGTCAAGTCGTATATTTGCTTCATTAAAATAAATGTGTTTGTAGAGATAAGTGGTACCTGACTTAAAAGTTTGTTGCAAAAGTGTCAAGATTTACTTAGTTGTTCTATGGGAACAACATACTAGAAAATATTTTGTGAATGTTTAGATGCATTGCTTAGAGATCAGATAAGTACACAGGTAAATATTTTTAAAAAATCATGAAATGAATGTAAACAAAGTGTCTTATCTCAATCAGTACTTCAAAATTACTTGAAACTTTGCATCGGCAATGAATTTGCGCTGTGTTGTTATTTTTATTGTCTCGGTGAATTGATGTCGTTTAATATGTAGACTGTCCGTAATGCACCCATAACCGGATGCCTCGCAAAAAGATAAAATTGTGGAATTTTTGTTTACTTAAGCTTAAAGTGACTATAATGACAAAGTATTATATATTTTAGAAACTACCGCATTATTTTTCCAACAAACTGTTACTGTTTTTAGAACTAGGAATTTGTTGCAAACAACTTAAGGTAAATTAAGCTAATTTAAACGCAGTGACCATTTTTTCACAAAATTTTAGGAAATCTGACATGGATATTTTACCTTCGAAATTTTCTAAAAGAAGTGAAATTTTACTTTTGGGATTTTTCAGTTTGTTTTTTTCGATTTCCCAATTTTCCTGTTTCAGTTTTACGTTTTTTCAAATTTTCTCTTCAATTTTTCGATTTTTGAATATTTCGATTTTTTAATATTTCAATTTTGATTTTTCTAAATTCTCGGTCTTTCCATTTTTCAAAAATTAATGGATGGATGTTTTGATTTTCCCATTTCTTAACTTTCGACTGTTTCGATTTTTTAGTTTTTTAGATCTTCAATTCTTCGATGTTTCAGGTTTTCGATTTTTCAATTTTCCTATTTTTGAAGATTTCGATTTTTCGAGTTAACTTTTTCGATTTCTCAATTTTGCAATTTTTTCATTTCTCATTTTTTGGATATATTTCAGTTTTGGGATTTTTCAGTTTTTCTTTCATTTTTCAATTTTTCGAAATTTCAGTTGTGGAATTTTTCAGATTATTTATTATTCAAATTTTCGATTATACCATTTCTGAATTTTTTCAGTTTTGGGATTTTTCAGTTTTTCCATTCTTCAGTTTTTCTTTTATTTTTCAGTTTTTTGATATTTCAGTTTTGTAATTTTTCAATGTTTCGATTCTTCGACTTTTCGATGTGTTGATTTTTTTACTTTTTCGATTTTTAAATTGCAGATTTTTCAATTTTTTGTTTTTTTTTTTTTTAATTTTAGATTTTTCGATTTCTCGATTTTTCATTTCCGTTCTTCGATATTTTAATTTTTCATGTTTTCGAATTTTTCAGACGATTCGATTTCTTAATCTTTCGATTTTTCGACTTCCTAGTTCTAGATTTTCTGTTTTTTCAAATTTTCATTTTTTTAATTTTTCAATTTAAAAATTTTTCTGCTTTTCAATGTTTTGATTTCCCACTTTATCGAGATTTGGATGTTTCAATATTTTGATTGTTCAGTTCCTCGATTTATCAGTTTTTCAATTTTTTAATTTCTCATTTTTTGGATATATTTCAGTTTTGGGATTTTCCAGTTTTTCTTTCATTTTTGAATTTTTCGAAATTTCAGTTGTGAAATTTTTCAGATTATTTATTGTTCAAATTTTCGATTATACAATTTCTGAATTTTTCAGTTTTGGGATTTTTCAGTTTTTCCATTCTTCAGTTTTTGTTTTATTTTTCAGTTTTTTGATATTTCAGTTTTGTAATTTTTCAATGTTTCGATTCTTCGACTTTTCGATGTATTGATTTTTTACTTTTTCGATTTTTAAATTGCAGATTTTTCAATTTTTTAATTTTTCAATTTAAAAACTTTTCTGCTTTTCAATGTTTCGATTTCCCACTTTATCGAGATTTGGATGTTTCAATATTTTGATTGTTCAGTTTCTCAATTTATCAGTTTTTCATTTTTTTAATTTCTCATTTTTTGGATATATTTCAGTTTTGGGAGTTTTCAGCTTTTCTTTCATTTTTCAATTTCTCGAAATTTCAGTTGTGGAATTTTTCAATTTATTATTCAAATTTTCGATTATACAATTTCTGAATTTTTGAGTTTTGGGATTTTTCAGTTTTTCCATTCTTCAGTTTTTCTTTTATTTTTCAGTTTTTTGATATTTCAGTTTTGTAATTTTTCAATAATTCGATTCTTCGACTTTTCGCTGTGTTGATTTTTTTTACTTTTTCGATTTTTAAATTGCAGATTTTTCTATTTTTGATTTGTTTTTAAATTTTAGATTTTTCGATTTCTCGATTTTTCGTTTCGGTTCTTCGATATTTTAATTTTTCATGATTTCGAATTTTTCAGATGATTCGATTTCTTAATCTTTCGGTTTTTCGGCTTCCTAGTTCTAGATTTTCTGCTTTTTAAAATTCTCAATTTTTTAATTTTTCAATTTAAAAACTTTTCTGCCTTTCAATGTTTTGATTTCCCACTTTATCGAGATTTGGATGTTTCAATATTTTGATTGTTCAGTTTCTCGATTTATCAGTTTTTCAATTTTTTATTTCTCATTTTTTGGATATATTTCAGTTTTGGGATTTTTCAGCTTTTCTTTCATTTTTCAATTTTTCGAAATTTCAGTTGTGGAATTTTTCAGATTATTTATTATTCAAATTTTCGATTATACAATTTCGGAATTTTTCAGTTTTGGAATTTTTCAGTTTTCCATTCTTCAGTTTTTCTTTCATTTATAGCTTTTTGATATTTCAGCTTTGTAATTTTCAATGTTTCGATTCTTCAACTTTTCGATGTGTTGATTTTCTTACTTTTTCGATTTTTGAATTGCAGATTTTTCAATTTTTTTATTTTTGTTTTAATTTTAGATTTTTCAATTTCTCGATTTTTCATTTCCGTTTTTCGATACTTTAATTTTTCATGTTTTCGAATTTTTCAGACAATTCGATTTCTTAATCTTTCGATTTTTCGACTTCCTAGTTCTAGATTTTCTGTTTTTTCAAATTTTCAATTTTTTAATTTTTCAATTTAAAAATTTTTCTGCTTTTCAATGTTTTGATTTCCAACTTTATCGAGATTTGGATGTTACAATAACTTGTTTGTTCAGTTTCTCGATTTATCAGTTTTTCAATTTATAAGTTTTCGATTTCTTGTTTTTGCCACTTTAGAATTCTCAATTTTTCTAAATTTTACTTTCGAGATTTTCAGTTTCTTTAATTGCAATTTTTGGATTTTATAATTTTTCAATTTTTCAATTTTTCGATTTTCAGTTTTTCGATTTCTCAATTCTCCTATGTTTCAGTTTTACGTTTTTTCAATTTTTCTCTTCAGTTTTTCCATTTTTCAATAATTAATCAATGGATGTTTTGATTTTCCCATTTCTTGATTTTCGACTGTTTAGATCAGGTTTTCAATTTTTCAATTTTTCTATTTTTGAAGATTTCGATTTTTCGACTTAACTTTTTCGATTTCTTAATTTTTCAATTTTTTAATTTCTCATTTTTTGGATATATTTCAGTTTTGGGATTATTCAGTTTTTCTTTCATTTTTCAATTTTTCGAAATTTCAGTTGTGGAATTTTTCAGACTATTTATTATTCAAATTTTCGATTATACAATTTCCGAATTTTTCAGTTTTGGGATTTTTCAGTTTTTCCATTCTTTAGTTTTTCTTTTATTTTTCAGTTTTTCGATATTTCAATGTTGTAATTTTTCAATGCTTTGATTCTTCGACTTTTCGATGTGTTGATTTTTTTACTTCTTCGATTTTTAAATTGCAGATTTTTCAATTTTTTAAATTGTTTTTAAATTTTAGATTTTTCGATTTCTCCATTTTTCATTTCAGTTCTTCGATACTTTAATTTTTCATGTTTTCGAATTTTTCAGATGATTCGATTTCTCAATCTTTCGATTTTTCGACTTATTAGTTCTAGATTTTCTGTTTTTTCAAATTTTCAATTTTTTAATTGTTCAATTTTTGAAGATTTGGATTTTTTGACTTAACTTTTTTGATTTCTCAATTTTTCAATTTTTTCATTTCTCATTTTTTGGATATAGATATTTCAGTTTTGGGATTTTTCAGTTTTCCTTTCATTTTTCAATTTTTCGAAATTTCAGTTGTGAAATTTTTCAGATTATTTATTGTTCAAATTTTCGATTATACAATTTCTGAATTTTTCAGTTTTGGGATTTTTCAGTTTTTCCATTCTTCAGTTTTTGTTTTATTTTTCAGTTTTTTGATATTTCAGTTTTGTAATTTTTCAATGTTTCGATTCTTCGACTTTTCGATGTGTTGATTTTTTTACTTTTTGGATTTTAAAATTGCAGATTTTTCAATTTTTTGATTTTTTTTTAAATTTTGGATTTTTCGATTTCTCGATTTTTCATTTCAGTTCTTCGATATTTTAATTTTTCATGTTTTCGAATTTTTCAGATGATTCGATTTCTTAATCTTTCGATTTTTCGACTTCCCAGTTTTAGATTTTCTGTTTTTTAAAATTTTCGATTTTTCAAATTTTCATTTTAAAAATGTTTCTACTTTTCAATGTTTTGATTTCCCGCTTTATCAAGATTTGGATGTTTCGAAATTTTTATTGTTCAGTTTCTCGATTTATCAGTTTTTCAATTTATAAGTTTTCGATTTTTTATTTTTGCCACTTTGGAATACTCAATTTTTCTAAATTTTACTTTTGGGATTTTCGGTTTCTTTATTTGCAATTTTTGGGTTTTATAATTTTTCCATTTTTCAATTTTTCGATTTCCAGTTTTTCGATTTCTCAATTTTCTTCTGTTTCATTTTACGTTTTTTCAATTTTTCTCTTCAATTTTTTCATTTTTAAATATTTCGATTTTTTAATTTTTCAATTTTTGATTTTTCTAAATTCTCAGTTTTTCCATTTTTCAATAATTAATCGATGGATGTTTTGATTTTCCC